ACATTTCAGAGCTCTGAGCCCCTTGTTGGGCTGGCACCATGGCTGCTGTAGCTGACAGCTGGACAGGAGGATGTGTGACCCGGGACGTAGCCCGTGGGGCCGATGGCACAGGGTGGCCTAGGATGACACGGAAGAGATCCCTGTGAGAGAGCCACAGTGCCTGCAGACTGTAAGGGTCGGAGACAGACCTGAGATCCCCAGTGCGTTAAGGTCCTGAGGTTACTGACATTTAGAAGAAAAACATGCTTAGGCTGTTCACTTCACTGTGTGAAAACCTGAAAGGGAAATGGAAGGCTGCCTTCAAGCAGCCCAGGCGCTGTGCTTATCAGGAAGGGAGTGGGGGATGCACTGTATTTTTTGATTCATCTTTAAAAACATCAGCTTGGTCACAGCACGTGCACTGCACCGCAGCACTTGAGTAGACGCCCGGCACAGTGTTTCCCACGGACGCTGCGTCTGGCCCGCACACCTGCCTGCTCTCAACACAGACCGCCAAGTCCGCCGGCGGCTCTGGACGCTGGTACGCTCGCGCAGAGCGGCCCCTGAGCAAATGCCTCTTTCAGGCCCTTGTGTCAGGGCTGGTCTGGAGCTCACCACAGACTGTTCACATTTGTATTTTCAAAGTGCAATAGCTCCCGCCTACCTAGCTTATAAAGATGTAAGGACTGATAAAATTAAAATTGAGGAATCTACATGCACATATACTTGTAATCTATAATTTTCTACACAAAGAAAAGTAATGTGGTTATTAGGACCATTATTTGGGGGAAGCCTGTCGACAGACACCTGTCTTGGCCTCTGGGACACACAGCGACTATAAGACTAGAGGTCAACCCAGCTGAATGCTAGAAACTAGAAAGGATTAGCTTGGTATTTGGTAAGGAACCTATCAAGTGGAGGAAAGCTTTCCTTAAAATGACTATGGTTTAACTTTTCATTTCTTTGGGCATATTAATTATTAAAACATTAATGCTCAATTAGGCCAGTAGAGCAATTACTTTGTAAGACATTATTTGGTATCTTGAGTTACAATTAAAAATTAATTAACTTAGTAACTTTCCACAGCTGCAGCTGTAAGAGGGACGAGGCCTGGCGGCTGTGAGCATCAGCCCCGCGTTTGCGTGGGCTTCTCCCTTACCAGAAGGCCCATGTTGTGGTCTGCACAGGGTGAGGGCAAAAACAGCCACGTTCACCCTGCACAAATTTGTATCTATGCGTGCTAAAAGAGCACCTTGGAAAAAGATCTTTATGCTCATTAGTAGAGCAAATCAGTCTGGAACTGAACTCTAACTCGGCCATGGTCTTGCTTTTGCACCAAGGACAAGTTGTGGGGCACCTGAGGGCTGGGAAAGAGCAGCACCCTGTGAGTGCAGGGCAGGCTGGCGGCTGGGCTGTGAGCATGGAGCCAGGGGCAGAGAGCTGTGGCAGACACTGCCAGATCGCTGGGGACCATTTCACCTGCGTCTCCTGCAGCAGGGCCTGCAGGACGATTCCTCGCCCTACACTGCACAGTCACGTGAGGGCTGGGAGCCCGGGGCTCCATCTGCGCCTGGGTCCATCTGAGCATCACACCCATTTCCTTCCTGCACACCTGCCACAGCTGCGAGGCTCCTGGAGCTACCCTCTGCCTGCCAGGCCTGGGGCAGGTGGGGCAGAGCAAGCAGAGCTGGCAGGTGCCCGGTCAGGCGGCCCAGCCCAGGCTCGCAAGGGTCCCCTGCAGGGACCGCACGTGATGGGCTCTGCACCCTCATACCTCTTCCCTATGGTCTTCAAGCAGAAGCCCTGGAACCCTGTGGGGCAGCCACTGCTTCCCGGCTTGCACCCTACTGCCTGTGAGCGAGGTAAATGTCAGTGTTTCCAGGTACACAGGCTCTTGGCTATGCTGTTTCAGGCACACAAGCAATTTAAGACCCCTACTCTACCTGTCTTTTCCTTGAGGTAAGACCCAAAGCCATGTTTAGGGTCAGGGCAGCACCCAACAAAGGAAAAAAGAGCCCTAAGGACAGCAAACCCAAAGGCTCCCAGAGTCACCCCACTGGATCATGGAGAAAACAAAGCTCACTGATCCTGCTCCTGCTTTGGGCTTGAGGCCATTTGAGGGACAGAGCATGAATCCAGTAAGGCCAAAACTTGCTTCCCTTTGTCAGGGTGTGAATCAGAAGGCCTGCTGCCTGTGTGCAGCACAATGCCCTCCATAAAGTATTCCTCACTCCTCCAGAGAGGTGGCGGACACGGGAGGACCCCTGTTAAGCTGGGGAGGGGTGCTTCCCACACGGCTGCACTCTGGGAGGAAGCGCAGCTGACTGGGATGACCCAGTCGTCCAAGAGGCCTGCATGAGGGACGGGTCGCGAGGATGAGGAACCTCTCACACCGCAGACAGCATCCAGGCTGGCTCTGACCTCTCTCCCCTCCTATGGAAGGAGCAGTTTCTTTGTTGCTCTGCCAAACGCTCAGCAGGACTCCTGTCGCTGCTCGTGGGGAGATGTGCAACAGAAAGCAGAAGAGGAAAATGGGCTCTGCGTCACGTGGGGCATTCGGGGTCTGTGCAAAAAGAAACACTTCTTAAGAAGGTTCAGAACATGCTGGCAAGCAAGGGGAAGGCTCTGCAGCCCTTGCTGGGGCTCCTTGGCAGGAAGGCGAGTCCAGGCAAGGAGGGAGCCATCGCACGAGTCACTGATGTCTCTGGGAGGATTCAGCCAGCAGAGCAGGAGCACAGGTGTGGATTCAAAGCAAAACTAGACCCCAAACTTCTTTTGGAATATGTTTGCTATTAGAAAAAGGTACTGCTGTAATTCTGAAAAGTTAGCACTAATAACAACTGATACATTCTGTGTTTGTTGGAAACACTGGCTTTTCTCTAGAGCCCGATTCCGCGGGGGCGGTAAGAAGGTGCTGAGCAACTCCGCTGGACCAGAGGGCTTGAGGGCTGCCTGGACTCGGTTTTGTTAATGGAACAGAGAAAACGACTTCTAATCAGTTTCCCTTAAAACTATAACTTTTTAGCAATAATCCCATGACAAGAATGAATCCCAGGTTCTGTGTCAAGCATCATGTTGGAAACAGCAGAAGTCCAAAATTAAATTAGAAAGAATTAAAGTGTCACATGGAGGCCAGGCGACAGCACACACAGCCACAGCACAAGCAGGGAGGGGAGCTAAGTCCCTGCAGGCTCCCGTGTCCCTCAGCTGCAGAGAAGCGGCCTGGGGACGCCCCTAGGAGGACCAGGTCACTGATGCTTAGCAGTCCATCGCCAGAGACAGAAGGCTGCAAAACAATGTATACAGTTCGACATGAAAAAATATTTATTTTAATACTGAGCAAAATATTCACTTTCTGTGGTGAGATCACCTTTTTTCATTTTCCATTGTACATTTTTTCCTTTTTCTAAAAAAAGTTTGTGTTACTTATATTATCCTAAAAGCAAATGATGGGTCAGAAGGCTGAAGTTTTCCTGTGCTGTGAATTCTGCAGTGTTTCTGCCCTAGAGGTGCAGTATATGGCTGTGCGTGGGGCTCGCTCGGCCGGCCCAAGGCAAGCAGTAAGCTGCAGGCACCCCCCACGCACAGGCCCAGGGCGCGCGCGCCCTCCACGGGACGGGACGGAAGCCCGGAATGGCTCGCCATGTGCTCAGGTCCAGCGGGGCCTGCCGAGTCTATTTGTCGTCCACAGCTTGCCCCACAACACTGTTCAAGGCTAACCACATGGCAAGCAGCAAGGCAAGGCGGGTGCGTGGGCGAGCCTGTCGTGCTCCACACCACCAGCCAGGCTTACAGTCTTGTGCTGAAGCTGAATCTCCAGTTGGCACTGGGGTTCACTGTTGGCGTGGAGCTGGGAACCCTCGCAGGTCGTGCACAGGAGAGGCCGTGTGTGGGCGCGGAGGAGAAGGCCGAGCAGGGAAGAGGCTGGGCGTTCCCTCAGGCTTCGTGACCATGGACCTCGCCCGAGTCCCTCTCGCGCCTCTGACCGGCAGTGGGAACCGGCAGGCTCCAGGCCCCTGCTGGTGTGAGCGGGCCAGGCCCTGCTCCAGGCTCTGCGGGACCTGGCTCATCCCTGCCGACGCGCGTCTCTAACGGCGCAGCGCGCTCAGCTGAAGCTCAACTTCGAGCCACCCAACACTCTGAAGAACAAAGCCAAACACAAGCAGATGCCACCGGGCACAGATGCTGGCACCGGGAATGCCAGCGCTCCCACTGGGCCATCCACCTGCGTGTGGCGCCCGACGCCCACGGCACTGCCCGAGAGGACGCCTGGCCCTAAGCCCGGCTGTGGCCAGCCCCGCACAGCTGACCGAGCAGCTCACTGTGCCCCGAGGCAGCGGCCTGAAGTGAGAAACAAGGCCGGGAGCCTCTGGACAGCTCTCCAGCAGAGCACAGCCTGAGGCTTCGTGGTCTCCCTAGGCAAGGGCTCTGCACCGGCTGTCCTCTCATCCCCGAAAGGCTGCGGGGTGAGCTATGTGACCATCAAGGCACTGTCTGCTCTTACTATGAGCTCCAGTTATGCTAAAAATGTCAGTATGTCCTGTCCCGAAAAGTAGTGGGTCAAATGGTTTGGGTTTTGCATGTTAGGACTGGAATAACAGAACACTGGAACAATTAATGCTGTTCTAGCAAGCAAGCATCCCCAAAACACAAGCAGCAGCGTCTATTGCCTATTGCCATACTTATGCTATTTGCCCTAAGACTTCCTTTCTGTTCACTTAGAAAATTAATTTGCCTCTACGTTTCTATTTTTACCCAGTACTGGGAATTACACCCAGAGCTTTCACACTGAGCTACCTCCCTGCACCTTTCTGTGCTTTATTTTCATTGCCAGGTCCCTGTGTCCCCACCTGGACTCCAGCGCAGAACCCGTCTCTCCTCGTAGAGTGCTGCGGCTGCGGCTGCGGCTGCGGCACAACCCCACCCAGCTGGATTTCTTCTTGGGAAGCTAATTTGACCTTCACTTTCTAAAGAGATGGCAGAGCGTGCATATAGGTGGTGCTGAAGAAAACAATCCTCACCTGTTTTTTTCGTGAATTTTTAGAATTTCATTTGTCTGTTGAAGAAGCTGCTTCTCTAGTTTGTATGTTGACAAGGAATTCTCCAGCAGTTGTATTTCAAGTCGAGAGGTTTGATTTAGTACCTTAACATAAAAGATAAAAACATTTCCAACTTCAATCACAAATCATAAACCACAAACAACCAATTTTTGTTTAGCTTTTGTCCTTAAATAGTATTTCCCCAAAAGTCATTAGTTCTGTAGTGTGCAATCTACCAAGTGTGGCTTTATCTGTTTCTTGTACACACTGCTGGTTGGAAGCGGAAGTTGCACTTGGGAACGCTGGACTGTTGAACCTACCTTCATCTTTAATTTTTATGCTCTGAATGCATGGGGCAGTCTATTTGCCAGATCTGTATTTATCTCCAATGTGGCCTAGTGTGGAGTGGGTATTTCAGTGAGGTCTGAGGTACTGTGGGTATGGAGAGGGATACACGAGGCATGAGATAAACTGTCCAGACTGGGCAGGACAGTTAGGCACCCTCGTGACCACACATTCATGGGTCATGGGTCATGTTGGAACCCCATGTCCCACCCCACCCCCGACACATCCCTCATGAGGCACAGTTGTCACTCCCACTTGATAATGAGGAAATGGGTTCTGGGAGAGCCCACAGCTGCAGAGGAAGCCGGGAAAGGCTTGGCATGGTTCTGCTGTCCTATGCTGAGCCCCAGGAAAGGCAGAGGACAGAGCAACGGGCTTCCCCTTGCCCTGAAGATGGGAGGCCTTCATCCTCCCAAGCCCACAAGTCATGTCCTCCGGAAGTAAGCACTCACCCTGGTGCGTCCCACGACCCAAGCTGCTGGCCAGCCCTCCCCGCAGGGTCAGCCTGCAGCCGGGTCAGCGTCCCCTTCTCCACCCTCTGCAGGGGGTATGCAGGCAAGAAAGAGTTGGAGGAGTTTTAAAGCCCCTCCCTCATGGGGGCCCTTACAACCACCACATCTCTGTCACCTCCTACAAGAAGGAACCTGGAACCCTTTGCAAGATGCATGTCCTGTCCAGGAACAGGACAGGGCAGCTCGCGAGTGGAAGGATGAGAAAGGGCTCCAGTCCCGCCTATGCTGGGGGCTCAGCTGGGGGCGGGAGGGGACATGGCAGATTAAGGGACACCGTGAGTACTCAGACTCACAGTACCAGATGCGTTACCAGACGATGGCCTTATTTTCTTAAAAAGTCTAACTTGGAGGGAAAAAAAGGGAATGATTACGCCAAATTAAAAGAAATTATTACAACTTGAAAAACAAAACATCCGTAAAAGTTCTGGAGGAACCATAAGAAAATATGACTGTCACTGAGATAGTCTTTGAAAATTTTTGTTTCTCTGTCATGATAGAGCAATATATAATTAATGCCACACTTAGCATATATGACATTTTGCACTTCTATCTAATGGACGTTTGATTTCTGTTATAACCTCGTCCTACCTGAACACATTTCAACAGAATAACACAACTCTAACCCAGTAGGCACTTTTGAGTTTGGTGGTCTCAGCACTCTTTGCAGGTGCACAAACCACGCTGGAGCAACTGGCCGAGAGAGCCCAAGCAAGGAACCAGGCAGTCCCTGCCCAGTCCCAGTTCCCTGGTGCAGGCGGGTGAGCGACAAACAGCAGCGTCCACTGCCTGAGAACCAGCCTCCTCGCTCAGTCTGCCTGGATGATTCTGCCTCAGACCCCGCTGGCCACAGGCTGAGCCTCTGAGACTGCGAAGCAAGTAACCCTCTCTCCTCAAGCCTGAGGGTCCGCCGTGGTTCCGGCCATGGCAGCTTACCCATATAAGCACTCTATGCCACCTACTGCCACCAACATGTGACCCTTGGCCTATGTGGGCTTGGATTGGTTCACGAAAATCTACAGATTTTAAGGGATTATGATTAATTTAATTGTTTAACAAAAATTTATGGAGCTAACAACATATCAGGTCCCGGCTGGCATTATAATGACAGCAGAACAGGCCAGAACAACCTTTGCTCACTAGGAGGACGGAGCCATATGCAAGAGTCGTGCAGATTTTCCCACAAAGATAGCGAGTATCTCAGGCTGGCTGGGCCATCTCTGCCATGAGCAGTTGTTGGCCTGAGAAAGCAGAGATATCATATTAATGAATGGGTATGGCTGTGTTTAATAAACCTTTATTTGCAAAATGAAATGACCAACAATTTAGGGGTGCTATTTGTGACTTCTGAGAAAGAGATGATAAAATGGGGTTAGGCCTATGAGACTTTTCTCAGGAGAAACACTTGTGAAGGGTAAATGGAAGAAGCCAGAGGAGGAAAGGAAAGAAGCTGGGCGGATTGCGGCCCCAGCCCTTAGGCAGCTGTGGCCGACAGAAGCCCTCGGCCTGGGTCACGCATCAGCAGTGCCGTAGCTCCCAGGAGCAGAACCAAGCAGCCCTGCCATGGTGGCTCATTGCCCAGGGTAGCCCCGGGGACTATGATCTCTGCTCCAGCAGTGATGGATTTCAGAGCTGAGTCCCTGCAGCACCAGGCAGCTCCACAGCCCACTGCTGAGGGGCACAGAGGCGCATTTCATGGCTGCAAGGGAAGCTCCATGGTGGCTAACCTGCTGGGCTTGAAGACACCTCTTGGAGGAGTGCTGCCCCAACCCAAGTCCAGGATGCAAGGGCTGCTGCATCTGTGACTGTAAAATACATTGCAGGAAGAAAGGACTCACGGCAGTGCTTACACTTGGGCTAAATTCTGCTCTGAACGCTATGTCACTACAGAAGTCATTAGAGGCTGCAGGTACTTCCTGTAGTTACCGCAACTGGTGAGCAGGAGGGCACCAGGGTCCTCGGTCACAGGCAGTGCAGTCATGAGCACCTGGGGGTGGTGTTGGTGGGGGAATGTCACTGTCACCCATGGGACTGTGCAGAGTCTCTGTCAGCCACAGGGAGCATCTGGGTGTTTTAGGGGCCGCGCTGCCTGTGCCGGGCCTGGTGTACGGGGCTGCCCTCTATGGTCCTGCAACCTTGGAGGCAGAAGGGGGCCACAGGAGGGAGGAAGTTCTGGAGGGCTCTCTGGCCCTACGCCCCTAGCTGTTGCTTCTGCAGGTCACTCCACCCATGTATTGTTGGCACAGCTTTAAATAAAGGTTGGTGGCACTACCTGCCCACCAGACCTACTACTGCTGTGCAGCTGATACGAGTGAACTCGCTGAGGACAGAGTCAGGTCCTGAGTCTTGCAGTGGATTTCAGGGCAATCTGTCCGTGATAGCCTCAAAGCTGAGTTCTCTGAGGAAGGAGGAGAAGTGGGAGCCCCGACAGGAGGGCCACACACAGTCCTGCTACTCCTCTCTTCACAGTCCAAGCTTGGAGAGGAGGAGTTGAGAAGCAGTCTTCCATCCAGGCAATGAGAAGGAAGGGCTGCATCTTCACCCCAGATGCGCACCCAGCCAGGGAGCCGCAGGCCCGGTACTGCTGCAAACCCGGCTCTGCCTTCTCGGGTTAAGCTGCATGTGGAAGGTCGGGAAAGGACTGGGAAGCAGGAGGTTCTGATCTTTAAAACATCATCCTGTGGAAGTGGGGCACCGAAATGTCCTGCAGAGCTACTGCTGTGACTCTCGAGGTAACCACAGTCCCAGACTCAGTTTCAGGAGCAGCTGTGCTTATCGTCGTGAGCCCTGGACATACACGCCAAGTCCCTCAAGCTTTCTGAGCCTAATTCCAGGGGCACACAGGGCGCGGGCTGCAAGATCACTGTCCCCACGCCGCACATGAATGTGGCCCTGCCTCAGCACTGGCACATGCCTTCATGGAACAGGTCCTGTGGCCACAGTCACAGTATGCCCCTTGGGTTGACATTACACGAGAGGGCTTGGGGCCCACAGCCATAAATGCATGGGCAGCTGAAGACACCAACAAAGCCAGAGAGGACGCACTCATTTCTCCTCTTAAGGTGGCTATTGTTGGGCTCTCCTGGCTGCCTGCCTCTGACTGCTGGTTCTGGGGGATTTGTGACCCTGTGGCCTAGGTTGTAGCCACCTTACAGTTGTCATGCCGTACCCAGCAGCCTTTCCCTGGCCTTCTGCAGTACACTGTGGCTGATCCACGTAGGGATCAGAACTTGTTTTTGACTCTTCTGAACTATTTTCCATAAAGCTCATATCTCTTGGGGGCAGGATGCAGAGTGACTTGTCATTTAAGATCTTGGGTTCCATGTACCTTTATGGTGTGGACACTAAAATGCTACCACTAGGAACATTTTCCCCACCACGCTAATTCCTAGGTGGGAGGAAAATGCAAACAACCCTAAATGAAGGTTGCTGGGGGTGGGAGGAGTGAACAAAATTCTGTCATGTGGGTCATAAAAGCTACGATAGAAACGTACAGGAGTTCAAATGTGCAGTCCAGGACACTGCTGGTTGGTTGATGAACATGTGAGAATGTTTGGGAGCAGATGGGAAGCATTTGGCTCCAACACAAACGGGAGAACAAAGCCACATTCTTCCCACCACAAGAAGCTCTACTTGCTTAGTGTGATAATGTTCAGCCAAACAAGGCTCGTAATTGCGGCCTCAGTATGTTGTCTCCCCTCCCTACGTTTGTCTGACAATAGTTATGACAGAAATATTTTCTGAAGCCTACATGATTTGCTTCTCTAGCGCAATCATCACTACGGTGCATTTTCAACTTGGTAATAATTGGTATTTCTAATCAACGTGTACAAATAAAAAGAAATGACCTTGTGTTTATTACCTGTAACAGTGGAGAAGTCACTGAGGCTTCCTGACTACCTGCTCTAGGTGGCTTTGACACACTCTTCACACCTGGGAAAGTGTGCACTTACTAAGACTCTCCAGCCGTAAGGCCACCATCACTATTGCTCTCTAAATGTTGGCATATGGGCTGTGACGCCTCTAACACAAATGAAACAAAATCAACACAAGCCGTGCCTTACGTTGCATGCACGTATTTTAGTTGGCTGCAGAAGTCAACCACACTGACAACACCATCTCTCGAGTGTGGGAACAGTGGGTGCCGCAGTCACTGCCTTGGCTAGAGGGCCACGAAGAACTCGTCTTCCAGTCATTAGAAATGCGATTTGCTGCCTGCACTGAACGGTAAGGGAGGATTTGTAACCCTGACAACTACAGGGCACCCTAGTTTTCAGTGATCTGTACTCAGAACAGCGTTCCATTGTACCTCTAGGGGACAGGGAGGCAAACGGCGCTTCTTACCGGTCCCCTGGGGACTTCCTTTCGGCTCACACAGACTCGCAGTCCCATGAGGGCTAGAAGATTACCAGAGACGCAGACAGAAGGTCCGAGGTGCACATCCAACCATAAATTCAGCCCAATGAGTTTTTCTTTGATATCAGATCATCATGGTTGGTGACTGCAGTGTTTATTTGAATTTAGGTGCGCATTACGTCTCTGCTCCTGCGGACACCAACCCTTTAAATCCAAAGAAACAAGCACAGCCTGTCAGGCAGTCGTGTTCCCAGCAGTGAATGAAGCTGCCTGTTTCCCGTCTCTGCGCTGAGCTGCGCTCTGCGTTTGTGAAGTAGCTAAGGGACTAGCGCGACTGGGAAGCGGCGCGGTGCGCGGAGGCGGCCCACCTGGGTCTCCACGTCCGTCAGCTTGCGCGTCTGCTCCGCAGTCTGCGTCAGGAGGCTGGTCCCGATCTCCAGCATCGCGGCCGTGTGGTTCTGCACCGCGTTCTGCTGGATCTGCGCCATCTCCGACTTCATGTTTTCCACAATGTAATTCTCAAGCTGCAAGAGATAAAGCACAAGCGTGCTACGTGATGAGCGGATCCTCTGGCCAGGCCACATAACAGCTACAACGACAAAACAGACAGCCCCGAGCCGGCCGGCGGCGGGCCAGGTGTCTCCTCGCGGGGAGCTGGGCAGGTGGAGCGCAGCACGAGGCAGGTGGAGCGCGGGCACACCCTGCTGCGCTGAGGCTCCAGACAGCACTCCCTGCCCTGGCGGGCGCTCGCCCTGGGATCTGGGATCAAGAGTCTCGGTCGCTGTCAGCATCCGGTCTGAGCACACGGCGCAGACGGGAGCGAGGCGGTCGGCCTGCTCCTTTATCTCCAGCCAAGAAAGGAGAATCAGAGAGGTTAGGGAGGAGCTCTGGTCACACTGTCAGAATCCAGCTGTTAGCAAAGAGGTTTAATCCTGGGCTGGGTTCTCTGGCCGCTTGATGATGCCGTGCCAACCTCGCCCCTCGGCCTGGTCTCACCCTGCCTGCGTTTCCACGGTGATTGGCGAAAGACCACGCTGCCCTGGGATGTGCTTGACAGGTGAGGGAGGAGGGCGGGTGCCGAGCAGCCTGCAGTGAATTTAGGCCAGCTAGGACGCAGGCAGCGATGAGAAGCCCGGCAGAGCTGCAGCCAGCCGCACTCCTTCCCACGCTCAGCACGGCCTGAACGCCCCGCCTGGAGCTGCATCTGTGTTCCCTGCAGCACCGAGCAGCACATGGCCTTACAGTGCGCCTCAGTGAACACCACGGTTCTGAGCCAGCGGTAACCAAGGGGCTGGCAAGCAGGATTGAGGGCTCCCCAGAGGGGCTGCTGGGGCCCATGGAAGAGGGGGAGCTGGGCCTGAGCCCAGCTTGGAGAGAGCCACAGCAGCCTGCACCCCGCCGGTGCATTCAGCTCCCGGGTCCTGGGCAGCACCTGCATCTTATTACCAATTGCACGTGTGGGAATCGCGTCCCGGAGAAGCCAGGTCCAAGGCCACACACCACGGGGCCAGGCTGAGGCCCTGCCTCTCACACTAGCGCCCGCACCGCCAAGTCGGGTGTACCAGGTCGGGTTCCAGGTCATTAACACAACATGATTTTTACCGGTTTAGTGAACCCTAATGTGGCCACTATTTCACCATCCATAGTAACACTATTGTCATGTAATAAATACAGTCTCCGTGTAAATCCCCTCCACGGCTTCTGGCGGCCGCTTTCTAACATCATTCCTTGTTTATTCCTATCAATCATACATGAATGTGCCCCCAAAGCAATGAAAATGAAAGCTTCAAATAGCTCATGTTGTTATGAATGAATTCTGAGCTTGTTCTCCGCCAGTCCTCAGATCAGAAGTGCACCAGAGCGAGGGGAATTCAACCTGTGAAGATTTACTGTAAAAATGTAAAACATCATAGAAATATTGGAAACTTACTATTTTATGAATTTAGGGCAGGGTCTACAGGGTCTACAGGATCTCACTACGTAGGTCAGACTCGTGGTGATTCTCCTGTTCTTTGCCTCTCGACTCGCAAGTGCTGGGATTACAGGTGCACACCACCAGGCCCAGTCTCCATCACCATCTCAGCGCACCCCAAGGTGAGGCTGGCACGGCACACTGGGGCTGCCATGCTCTGCCGAAGCAGGAGCTATAGTCTGCTGAGCTATCTGGCTGGCCCTTGAAAATCATTACAATAAGCACAAGGCTTCTGGGCCAACTTCGGGCTTTGTTCCAGGTGATCTCACACACTTGAGCAACAAGGGAGGGCTGTGCTAAGAGTGTAGTCAGAGCTGCAGACATCTGGTGTTTCGGATTCCTCATCACGTTTCCCTTTTCCTACTCACTTCCCTGCCTTCCTCCACAGTCTTCCCTCCTTCCACACTGATGCTTTGGGCGTCTGGACCCTCTCAGCTTCAAGGTGGCTCCATGCTTGAGCCTGGCAAGCCACAGGAATTGTCTGTGCTTGTGACAGGGCTGGCATTACAGGAAGGCCATTAACGCTCAGTTCTGGAGTTGTGGCCAGTGAAGGCACATGAGAGCTTCCTCCTTTGTGGCTGACAAGCAGGGAACGTAGATGGCTGAGGCTGCTGCTGCCCAACATTGCCACCAAACATTGCCACCAAAAGCCAGAGACAGCCTGAGGATGAAGTCAACTCAGAGGAACTGAGGGTGAGACAGGCAGATCCGCGCATGGATGGAGCGAGCCGGGGGTGAGGACAGAGGCGCGTGCTCTGCACCAACACCCGCCATGCGCTTGGCAGGTCCACCTTTGGCCAGTGGCAAGCTCCTGGCTCAGGTGACCTCCCCAGCAGCCAGGGTGTCTTTTTCGTTTAGTCACATGGCCATTTGCCGTTAACGCAACCCAAAGACAGTTACTACGTTTGATAGATGTTTAAGGACAGGAGCCCAAGACAGGCAACACTAGCAGATGTTCCTTGCTTGTCCTGGGGATTTGAGCTGCTTGTGAATGTAGGTGTCCTGTGTGAAGATGTCACCAGCCACCACACACAGCTGGCTTTGTCCATTGCCCGGTACACTGTAGCCATTCCCTTTTATAAAAGGAAAAACCTGGATAGCTCACATGTTACCACTGCTCAATGGCTGAGGCTCGTGAGGCTTTGAAACTGCCTTGCAGGCTTCCCACGGGCAGGTCCTTCAGCACCAGCCCAGCACGTGTAAGCCCCAGGGCCTTGACACTGAGCTACTTCCCCAGCCCTTCTTTTAGCTTCAGAGGCAAGAACACACTAAGATGCTAAGCTGCCCAGCCTGGGGTCAAGTTTTGGTCTTCCTGCCTCGGCTTCCTGCAGCATCAGGATCTGAGGCGAGGGGTGTGCCACCACACCCTGGCCTCAGGGGTCCATCTTAAGCTGAGAAGTTGCTGAGCACAGAGCTGATGGGTTATAAAGCAGGAGGTCCCAGCAGAAGGTAAAGCCAATGACTACACTGTCATTCTCAGGACCTGACTCTACAGATTTGTAAACCACTGGCTAGAAGAGCCTAGGAAGAAGCTGTTGGACTAGATAGGATTTGAAACCAGATGAGAAGCACACACAGATGCTTTCTGAAGCAAGGAAAAGTGCATTTCACACAGCACCTCACCCTGACTCCTGCCCACACTACAAAGGAAGTACAACTGTGCTTCACAACTCGGGAAGCAGCTTAGGTTAGCTCGCTCTCCTGATGTGCTCCTCACCTGAGAGCCGGCTCCTACTGCGTTGCCCAACTGGCTGACTGCTGAGGACCGATTTCACTGGTATCATTTGCGTCAGCTCTCTTGTATTCATTCCTTACTTCTCCGAGGAGAGCAGCACTGTCAGAGTGAGTCCTCTGCCCCAGGCATGGGGGCTACCTGCAGTAGATGACACCTCTGGGGCCAGGTGGGTGACATAAGGGGGTCATTGGAAATGCAAGGAATTTTTCTTAGTGCACAAGCTTGCTTGCTCTGCTAGTTCTGTTTCTTTTCTTTTCTTTTCTTCTTTCTTTCTTTCTTTCTTTCTTTCTTTCTTTCTTTCTTTCTTTCTTTCTTTCTTTTTCTTTTTCTTTTTGAAGCCAGGTATTGAACTCAGGACCCTGCGCTTGCCAGGCAAATGCTTATTCTACTGAGCTATCTCCCTGGCCTTCATTCTATTTCTTACAAGCACTGGACCGCAAAGTGCATGCAGCCGTGCACCGTCTCTTCTGGGGCTGGGAGCACACGGCCTTTGTTGGACCCCAGCATGTTTCCTCTCCTCATACTTGCAGGAGATGGAGGCTCTTGGGAGTGACATGGGTCCTCTGAGAGTTGGTGGCTGGACCGTCCACTGCTTTTTGATATTGGCACCAACATTGCGAGTGAATTCTGAGAGGCTGCAACATGTGATGAGGACGCGTGATGTGAATGCTGGAAACGAGGCGATGGAACTTACTCAAAGAGGGAGAATGGCTCAAGCCTGCGATTTAAGCCTTCAGGTCCGGACTCAAGGCTGGGAGATCCTGGGAAATGCTACAGGGGATGAGGCCGCAGAGAACCGGCAGCCGCACGACGGTGTGTTACTACACAGCAAAGACGTGTACTTTTAGGAAGTGAGGCTTATTATCAGGCGCTTACTGTAGTTCACTGGAAGTTGCTGCCTCCACCTTTCGCAGTGCTCACAGAAAGTGCACATGGCTGCTGCCCCTTGAAACAGAGTGGGGACCCCGACTGCACTAGTGCCGCAGCCCTGGGCAGCCCGGGAGCCCCGGGGCAGTGGCAGTGTGAGACCCCAGGTCCTGCATGCCAGGCGCCTTCGCTGTCACTGATCTGAGATCACTTCAAAGCCTCTCTAAAGGCAGAGCATATCTTAGAGCACAAAGAATATAATTTCTCCATGTAATTCTTAAGAAAATAACATTTTAAATGCTATAAAAATTGACAAAGACATCCTCGGTTTAAAATATGTTGTAGATTAAGGGGCCCCTCATTGGATGTGGATGCATATGGTATTACTCAGTTAGAGCAGAGTAAGCATGAAGGAAAATAAAATGTTAAATATGGGAAAGCAATAAAGAGGTAAAACAATGCAAAAAATGCCTTCAACATTGATGGTTTTATCTCATATTATTGTTTCATAAATCAGTGGCAGTACTGAAAGTGCAGCTCTAACCAACCGGGTTTATGGCCTTACACGCAGAGCTGGCTGGCCAGGCCCGGCATCTGCAGGCACTTCCAGGGCTGATCTCTTTTATCAAAATGGAAGGTTTAAGATGATGGACCTAGTTAGTTAGTATCTGCAGCAGTTTCTGTGCTGACATTCAGGGCAGGGAACCATTTTTCACTGGGTGTCTGAAGCCATTGGCGTAGCAAAGCTGAAAGAGGCAGGAAGCGTTGCATGCTCCAGGGGTCCTGTTTTACAGACACCACCTCTGAGGTGAGAGGGGGCGTAGGAAGCACGGCGCGCCAGGGCGCGGATGCCCGAGGCTCTGCAGCGCCCTCCTGCAGGCTCCTGGTGTGGGCGTCTCTTGGGCTGCTACCTCCTGCCTGGGGGCCCTGTTTCTTCTCCAGCTTCACTT